TGCTGCACCCACGGTCATTTCCCGCACAATCAAATTCATTAAAGCCAAGCGCGATTCCCAGCAGCAGAAACTCAAAAGGCGCGACATCGCCATCTGCCTCGCTGTGCTCTTCACTGTCGTCCTCCTCATTTGGAATTTCCTGCAGCAGTTCGGTTACACTGTTGTGTCCTCCCAGGTTTTTTTCCTGCTCACCTGCATCAACAGCACCATCAAACCTTTCATCTACTTCTTGGTGGGGAGGTGTTGGAGGCCCTGCTCTGTGGGATCCCTCAGGCTCTCGCTCCAGAGGGTTTTTGATGAGCAGAAAGATAACACTGCCTGCAGCGATAATTCCAGCACAGACACGGGGGATCAGAGACTGTCAATCCATGACACTGAGCAGTGGATTCTTGAGACTGAGCAGCAGATCCGTGACATTCAGCAGCGGTTCTGTGACACTGCGCAACGGACCATTGACACTGTGGAGCCAACCAGTGACACTGCACAGCTGACTCGTGACACAGCACTGCTGACCCGTTACAATTCACTGCTGAGGAACCCTGAGACAGTGGCTGAGGGTTTTCCTGAACCTCACAATCAATAAATATCTGCAGAATCAACCTTTCAGAGAGTATTCCCACAGAAGGGAGCAGTGCATTGCCAAGGGCAATGTGGGAGGGATGCTCTGCAGGGAGCACATTGGAGCATGGCTTTCCTTTTTCCTCATGGGTCCCAGAACACTCTCCGCCCAAAGAGAACCTTCCCAACATGGCTGTGATCCCAAAAAAACGCCTGACACCTGGTTCCTGTACCCCACTGCGGTCTGATATCAATAAAGAGCATCGTGAACCCTGAGCTGCCTTGGCCCCGTCTGCCAGCGCTTGCCGCCTTCCTCTGGCTCCTGCTGCCAGCCGGGAATGGGGGTGGAGGGAGGGGACACAGCCATGGCTTGTGCTCCCTGCAGCAAACATGATCCCCAGTGCCCAGAGCTGGGATGGCAGCGGCACAGCCGGCATGGACAGGATGGCCCAGGGGCTCAGCATTCCCCGCTGGCTGCTCTGGGAGTGTCACAGCAAACATCTCCCACAACATCTTCTATTTCCAGTGTTGTGAGCCAAGTGCAAAGGACTCTTTGCCTTCAGGAATTCTCCCTCTCCCATTGTTTCAGCCTCTCCCTCAGCAGCCTCGGATGGTGCAGCTGAGAGGAAAGGGCAGTCTGTGGTCTGTGGTCTGTGGGGGAAAAAAGTGGCCCCACAAGCCCTGATTCTGAAACTCAGCCAATTATTGTGTATGACTGAGTCCTGGGAAGAGAAATGGAGTGTTAACAGCCTACATGGAGGAGGAATGCTGCATCCTTGGCTACTGTTGAGTAAAGGAGATTGGAATATAGAATTGATAACGCAGGTGACTGGAAATTATAAACATTACTTATACCATAGCTTTTGCAAACTCACCAATTATGTTCTGATTACTAATTAAACAGCTGTCTCTTAACAAATGTATGTTTGACACAAATGTATACTCTGGTTGCTGAAGTGTTTAAAAGAGGCTTGTCCCACAATAAAATTCTTCTTTCTTCTTTCTCTCTGTTTTTTTCACCCACTTTTGTGTGGTTTTGTATCTATTATTTTATGTCGCTGTTTGGCCAGCAGCAACAGTGATCTTCAGCACGGCCACCCCCTTCCAGGAGCAGGGTGACACCTGTGTTTGTCACCACGGGCTCCACGGGGCATCACCCCCACCCTGGGGCTTTGCTGAGGTCCCCATCCCCACCCCATCCCACACCTTCTCACTCTGTCCCACCATATCCCAATCCCACCCCACAGCCTGCCATCCCACTCCCCATCCAGCCCACCCCTCTCCCATCCTTCCCATCCCTCCCAGCCCCGTGTCTGAAGCTCCATTCCCTTCCCATCAGCGGCCCACCCCATTCTGCCCAATAAGGTTTGGGGTGATGGCTTCCCAGGGAGACCCCAACCACTCCAGAGCTTCACCCGCAGTGCCAGCCCCCACACAGCCCTTGGAGAGGAACAAAAGCAGTGCAGGGATGGATCCAGGGACATTTATTGGGATGGAAGACTGGGAGCAGCCAGGAGGAGCAAAGGCAGAGCCCAGGGTCCCGTGTGGAGCAGGGCAGGAGCGGGGCTGTCGGGGGAAAAGGCGGCTCTGAGGGGGATCTGGAGGTGTCAGAGGGGGTCAGGAGGGTCTGGAGAGGGTCGGGGCAGCTGCTTGTCTGGAGCTGCTGGAGGCCCTGCTCCTTTGGGACCCTCAGGGAATCCCTCAGGAGGGTCTTTGAGGAGCCAGAAGGAAACACTGCCCACAGCAATGATGGCACTATGGACACGGTGCTCTGAGCCTGTTGATCNCCTTTGGAATTTCCTGCAGCAGCTTGGTTACATCCCTGTGTCCTTCCAGGTTGTTTTCCTGCTCACCTGCATCCACAGAACCATCAAACCCTTCATCTRCTTCTTGGTGGGGAGCTGTGGGAGGCTCTGCTCTGTGGGGTCTCTCTTGAAATCCCTCCGGAGGGCCTTTGATGAGCAGAAAAATGATATTGCCAGMAGCAACGATGTGACCAGAGACACGGTGGCTGTGAACCTGTTGATCCCTCCCAATGCACACTGCTGAATGACCCTGGGACAGTGGCTGAGGGTTTCCTTGAGCCACCTGATCAATAAATACCCAAAGAATCACCCTCCCTGCACTGCAATCCCACAGGAGAAGGGAGCAGGGGCATTGCCACGGGCGCTGTGGCAGGATGCTCTGCAGGGAACATATTTGAGTGTGGCTTTCCTCCTCCCTCCCGGTTCTACACAGCTCTGAGCAGGGCAGGCAGGCTCTGCCCAGCAGCTTCAGCCAAAATCCAGATTGTGCTGATCATTTTCATTTTGTTACTACCCCTAAATTAGACTTGGATTTATTTCTTTTATTTGTTCCCAATGTGGTAATTCTAAYGGCAAAATTTGTTGAATAAACAACATCCAAGCTTTGCTGCAGAGCTTGTCCCTCCTGAACAGTGCCCAAAATCGTTCATTTCTTTTTTTTTTTTTTTCACACTCTAAATCCTCTGGCTTGTCTGAGGAGGGCAGGTACCTGTCTCATACCAGAGCTGTTCCTAAGGCAGGTGCCTGCAATGGTTGGGATGATGCTGACAGTGCCAAGAGCTCCCCATTCCTCCTGGGAGAGACCTGGGCAGCAGCNGGGCTGGTGCCTCCAGATGGCAGGAGAGGGGTTGGGATGGCCCGGAGCATCCTTCCCCTTCTGTCCCGCAGAGCCGGCCCTGCATTCCCGGCTGATGAGAAGAGACCAAGCTGGCACCAGGTAGGGCTGCAGAGCTGTGCAGGAACAGCAACATTCCCTTCTACTTATGGGGGAATTTGTCACATTCTGTAATTCCAGAATTAAATCATTCTGAGTAAAGTGCAGTGTCGATGGTGAACTCCACTGAAGCCTTGTGCCTGTGACCAAAAAGAGCTTGAAATATGGAAATTCACATCACCAAATGCTTGGGCCATTTAATTGTACAGAAATTGTAGGGTTATGATGTTGTTTGCAGAATGGGGCGGTCCTCTGGTTTCCCAGCATCAATGTCCAAGGAAACCCTTGACCACCTTCATCCTGACCCTGGTCATGCTCAGGAGGAGCTGAACAGCGACTCTGCACAGCAGCTTCAAACAAAACCAGATTGTGCTGATCATTTCACTTTTATTTCTCCCCCTAAATCATATTTGCATTTTTGTCTTATGTTTGTTCCCAATGTGGTAATTCTGACTCCAGAATTTGTTGAATAAACAATATCCAAACTTTGCTGCAGAGCTTGCCTCTGCTGAGCAGCCTCAAAAATGGTTCATTTCTTTATTTTTCCACATTCTGAATGCTCTGACTCCCCTAAGGAGGGCAGGTACCTGTCTCATACCAGAGCTGTTCCTAAGGCAGGTGCCTGCAATGGTTGGGATGATGCTGACAGTGCCAAGAGCTCCCCATTCCTCCTGGGAGAGTCCTGGGCAGCCGTGACATTTCTTACCTGGGGGGAAGTTGTTCCTCCTTTTTTCCACTGCCTTAAATCCGGAGGAATCCAACATTCCATGGCTTCTGGAYAGGGAAGTGAAAGTGAAAGCTGTGGGGAATGAGTGATGGAGACACACATGAGGTTAAATGTCTAAGTAGTCTTTATTGACAGAGTTGTTAATAATTGACAGAACAGAGGAACTTTTACAGCAGAGGGGACTTTTGTCTCTCCCTGTCTTCCATTTTCCTGTCCATTGGAATGTAGAAACTTCCTGAAAGCAGAAACTTTCTGAAGTACAAACTCTTGTCTGGAAAAGGACTCACATCACCCAGGCAGTTTGTCCCAAGGCAAGTGCAGAAGGACCAGGACCCTTCCATGTTCTTTTTCTACTTCCAAGCACCTTCCTCATCTCCAGTGTCACCCAGGCCAATCCCAAACTGAGTATCCTGTTTTCCATGGAATTATGGAATGGTTTGGGTTGGAAGGGACTTTAAAGACCATCCTGTTCCAACCCCTGCCATGGGCAGGGACACCTTCCACCAGAGCAGTTTAATCCAAGCCTCATCCAACCTGTCCTTTGAAAACTTCCAGGGATGAGGCAGCCACAGTTGAAACCTGTGAAAAAGGTGAAACCTGTGCCAGTGTTTCACCACCCTGATATTCCCAGCCCACCCCCAGATCCTTGACAGCAAGGGCTGGAAAACAAGGAGGAGAAAGAGAAGCAGGGAAAATCCTGTCACTATCCCTCAACAGGCTCTTTGCCATGAAAATTGCCTTTGTCCTTCTTTCTCTGTCTTTCACGTGGAAAATCCAACCTTTGCAACACAATGATTCTGTTTCATGATGATTCCACTTTTTGATGATTGCACTGTGTTGTCCCTATTCCGGGGCTCTGGCACATCCTCAAAAGGATGCCTCTGGAAGGAAGCACTGAGGGACAGAGAGAGTGAAATCTGTGTGCCCAGCTCCCAGCCAGGAAGGAAACACCTCAGCTGCCTCCCCTTCCCTCACACAGCTGCAGGGATGACAAAAAGAGACACGTTATTAACGCTGCTGTCTCTCAAACGTGGCTTTTCCCATCTTTTCCTGCTCCCAGCTTCCATGTGGAACAGCACAGGGAGAGGTGAGGGATAGGACAGGTGGCAAGCAGGATGAGGGACATGGGTGTGACATGCCTGGCAAAAAACCAGGGAGATATTCCCGGCCTTGGACAGGACAGATCTGGAGGAGGAAAAAATTGGAGAAGGAAAGGATTGTCCATGTAAATAACACAGAGTAAATGGCTTTGGGGTAGATCTGAGCTGGATTCTCTGATATTGTACTTTATACCACTGAGTTGCTGGATTCCTTCAGCAGGCAATCATTGCAATACTCTCCCCCTTTCCCCACAATATTTATGGCTCTAAATACCCTACACACCACAGTTTCCCCCCAAATTAATAACCAGTTCCCACCCCAATGAGGGAGGCACTGATAAAGGTAAAAGAGAAGTCTGACCTTGTTCCCTCTTACAGCCTGGAGAATTTCCCTGCAGCAGGCACGGTGTGGGGTCACATCAGCTCACACACCCCAGCTGCTGTCCCTGGGCTGGGATCTCCGAGAGGTTCCCTGGGATGATCCCTGGGGAAAGGGGAGCGAAGCCCAGCGGCTGAGCCGGGGCAGTG